ACACGCACACACAAACACACACACACACACACACACACACACATACATACATACATGCATACATAAACTCACCCCTTCCCCACAGGCACATGGGGATAATATAAAGAAAACGAATAACATATTATAGCGTTAAAATGAAATAATTTATAAAGATACATTCTCTTCTCTTCACCCAGACACACACCCCCTCCCCCAATTCCCCCCCCCCCCTTTTTTTTTAAAATCCATGGGCTTTATTATTGTAATTATTTAAATATTTGTTGTTTCTTCCGTTTTTTTCGGTTAGTTCTTTTTTTCCGTTATTAATAATGTTCTTTGTTCTGTTTTCTTCAGCCTTTGGTTTTTTCGAAGATCCGCTTTGATTTTATTTTCATTTAGTAATTTTTCTGATCTTGTAAAAAAGGAATAGGGAGGAGGCTAGGGGTGAGTGGAGAATGGAGAGGGAATTGAGAAAAAGGAGAAAGAGGTGAGTTTAGAAAAAAAAGGGAGGGGGCAGAAAATGAAGGAAGGAGAAAGGGGAGGGGAGAAAGGTGAAGAGAAGGAATGGCAGAGGAAGAAAGGGGAGGGGAGAAAGGGCAGGGGAGAAACGGCAAGGGAGAAAGGAAGTGAAAGGGGGAGGGAGAAAGACGCAGGGAAAGAAAGGTAACGGAAGAAAAATTAAAGGGGAAAAAGGGAGAGTTTGGGTGCACTCACACACACACATAGACACACACACATACACACACAAACACACACACACACTCACACACACACACACACACACACACATTATACAAGCACAACCAAGAACGAGAATACAACGCACGTGTTCACCCCTAGCGGACAATGCCAGGCTGTTGCTTTTATTGCGATGATTAATGTCAAATGGTTATGGTGGAGGTCAGCCGCTTTGTCTACTGTCATAGTAATTTATTCTTTTCTATCAATTTGTCTCAGAGGAAGCCGTGATGGCTGCAGGCTCCTCGGAGGCCTTCATTTCCCCCCCACAAGTGGGCGTTCATAGAGACCGTGGAAATCTCATGGAATCTACCAGCAATTTTGCCTTTTCCGGGCTCTCATTTTACGTATTAATTTGTTATTGTTATTGTTCTTTTCTCTGGTATGAGTTGACATAGAGTCTACATATATTTATACATGTAATATATATTGTATATACGTACAAGTATTATTATATTTTGCTTGAGAGAGAG